TCCTCCTAATCGCATGCTTATCAGCTTCATCCAATGATTTAACAATACTTTTGTGATGTTTACTGGTCATTGGCTCAGAAAAGGTGTGATTTTTTTTGTATTGTCTTAACACATTAAACACTGATGCGCGACACACCCCAACTTTGTGAGAAACCTTCACAACAACTTCTTTGATGGTTGATGCCTCGTTCTCCTCGCGCTCGATCTTATATATATTCAAAATGACCTCTTTCATTTCTGCACTCAGGTGTCTTTTTTTAGAGCGTTTCCTAGGTGGACTACAGGAGTTTACAACTTCATCGGCATTATCTGTACTACTGGGCATTTTGCGCAAGCAGTTGATAACAATAACAATCAATAACAAGGTATAACAATAACAACGACAAACTCAACAACTTAATAAGATAACAAACGAAAACGTCCAAAGAAATATCAAATTGCAATGATGCACACGACATACGTAACACGTCTGAACCTGAATGTGACTCTGCCTTGATACGACTGCTGTGACGCTCGGCATAGGCATTTAATTGCGAATTGACCAATGAGGGCTCCTGTTTTACGTCGAGACGGCGGCGTTAGCGTGAAAATCACCCGAACCTTTTGTTTACATCCGGTCTATCTCTTATCTGAATATACTGTAGAGAGTTTCTTGTCTATAGTTATAGTCTGTGCTACAAACATAAGATCTGACGTTATGGTCACATAAATAAATGGCAGTTGTTATGTGTCAGTGGTGACAGATAGCAGAAGTGACGTCATCATAGTCGTAGGTTCCTTTGCGCGCTATATTTAAAACAATTAACCCGCTTAGAGTGTCAGGGACGGGTCAGGCGGAACGCACATAACATATTTCGTTAATTTTTTACGCGCTGTAAATAATAACTGAAATATATGTTTTTGGAAGTATGATACTTTATCTTGACATCGATTTCGAAAAACAGAATAGTTCCTGGACAATAAATATGTCAAATTTGAGGAAATGTATGGGGGCCTACTATTCGTCATTGTTTGTCAGAGCGGTCCGTAGGACCTTTGCTCTTGGTTGAAGTCTTGTAAGTTAGTAGGTTTGTCAGGTCTGGTTGCCCAGATACCAAACAAAGTCAGGGAGAAAGAAAGGAAAAAGAAAGGAAGGAAGAAAGGAGGGAGAGCAAAGAAAAAAGAAGTGCATCAATTTGAGGGGTGCCTTGGCATTGCTAGTTAGTATTCGGCAATTTTAAGTTGATCCTAAAATTAATTTTGGGATTATAATTTTGGTTGGACCTAAAGTCGCACGATTTCATTTTGTTCAGAGTGCGAGTCGCGGCCTTGTGTGCTTGCGAACTTGCTCGACTGTTATGCGATTCTGCTTGACTGTAACGTAGCTGCGCTTGTTGTTTGATGTAGTCCCTTAGGTAAGGGATGTCAAGGTCTCTGTGAAGGGTCTCGTTGGAAACATACCATGGGGCGTTAGTGATTGCACGCAAGGTTCTGTTCTGCAAAATCTGCAGGCTACGCAAATGCGTTTTGGCGAGAAAACACCAAGCCGAACTTGCGTAAGTGATCGCTGGTCTAATAACCATCTTGTATAGCCGAACTTTGTTGATCAAACTTAATTTTGATGTTCTACATATCATAGGGTAGAGTTGCCGAAACGAGATTTGGAATTTAGTTTTTAACGCTTCAGTGTGCTTCTGCCAGGTCATCCCCTTGTCAAGAGTGATACCGAGATACTTAGCAGAGCTTCCCCATGGTACCCGAGCTCCATTCACTGAAACCTCAGACGGGGCGCCGCTACGTTTTTTAGTACAATAGATTGCCTGCGTTTTCGAATGATTAATTTTGATCAGCCACCGATTCGCCCATTCCAATACCTCGTCCACTGCACTTTGCAGCCTGTCGTGAACTAGATCCCCAGAGCACGACTGGGCCACCGGGGCAGTGTCATCAGCATAGAGATAGGTTTCAGAGCTGTTGGAGCAAGTGACGTCATGAATAAAAAGTGAATAAAGGACTGGTCCAAGAACCGAACCCTGAGGGACACCGGCTTTGATGGGCCATGTTGTCGACAGAACGTTATTAGTTTTGATCCGAAATTTCCTACCCTCGAGAAAGGATTTCAAAAGTTTTAGGAGCCAGAAGGGGAAGCCCTTATGGATCAATTTGTAGAGAAAGCGCTTGTGCCACACCTTGTCAAATGCCTTTGAGACATCCAGTAGCAAGATGCCAGTACTTTCGTTACGGGTGAACCCCCTGGTTACTCGTTCAACAAGCCTTATGGCCTGTAGCTCCGTACTATGCTCAGACCGAAAGCCAAATTGCACGTCAGGAATCACACGGTGGTCTGCCGAGAAATTTTCAAGGTGACGTAGAATCACCTTTTCGGCGAGTTTAGAAGGAGCTGACAGTAGACTAATGGGGTGGTAATCCTGAAGGAATATCGAACCCACCTTCTTTGGAATCATTATGACATCAGCAGTCTTCCACGCCGTTGGGAAGTGCTGGGTCCTTAGCATGGCATTGATTATTGAGATAAGTAAGGACTTCCGCGAAAGTAGCTTCAGCGCCTTATTAGTGATTCGATCCTCTCCAGGTGCTTTACGCACCTTGAGGTCTTTAATATGACCTTGCAGCTCTGCTGGTGTGCAATGCGGAGTCTCAGGAGATTCCACTGATGTGCCGTGCAGCTCTTCGATTGGGGAATCTTCTGAAGATTCCTCTGAGGAAAAATCACTAAGAGAGGCACTACTGCCACTGACGCCGTTTGCCCTAAAATATCTCCTGACGGATCTTACAATATGTTGCTCCTCGTCGAGGTCATAGTTGCGAGAGAACTGACTTTCCATTGCATCAGCGAAAACCTCGACCTTTTCCTCTGTCCTACAGACTAAGCTCTAGGACCATGGATGTGCGGGAGTTGTTCTCGCTTTCCGTTTCTTAGCGACTTTGCAACTTTCCAGAGAGGAATACTTGAGTCAAGCATCCTCGACAGAAAGTCGCTGCATTGCTCATTACGGAATTCATGAAGAGCATTTCTCACTTCATGAACAAGATTAGTTGCTCTGTGAATGTCATCCGGGTGACAAGACCTCTTCGCTTGCTTAATTGCAGCTCTTTTGTCAGAAATATTCTGACGAATGCCTGCAGGGAGAAAAGGTCTGCCGTGTCGTCGTACTAGTAGTACAGCTGCACGCTGCAGAGCTTGCTGAACGGAACTTGTCCACTCCGCTTGAGGAGTATCTATATCGTTCTCATCATCTATGATCGGGATATTGGGGAACTCTCTAAGGAGCGACTTGTATAGCTCCCAATCAACTCTTTTCCTTGGAAGAGTTTCCCCTTCCAAGGTTGTATGGGGCCTTTGACGCTTTTTCGTTGACAAATTCATGTACTTGATAGCATATGACTATTTTCATTTGATTGACAATTGCTGTTGCCATTAGCTTATCACTTCTATTAACAATGGACTTTTTTAGCTAAAAGTTTCTGGTTTATCTTGACTTTGGGCCTGTTAGTCAAATCATTGCAAATTGCCCTTTTTTATCAGACCAAGCCCTCCAATTTATCAGCAAGATTTCGACAACACTGCAGAAGCGACTACAGATTCAATTTGAGATAATATTTCACCGAACAACAAGCTACCATCCGGACAGCTACATTTACCTATACATATAAATGCATATACGCCAACAAGCAACGGCGTGTCTGGGCCGCCTTTCTTTCTTTTTTATTCATTTTTTCGTCTTTTTAAGCTCATTTGCATCCCGGTCTAAATCGGCAATAATTAAAATGTCATCGGCAGGTCCGGCGTTGTAAATCATGCCCTGCGAACCGCGGCCAGCGGTTCGAATACCGAAAAGGCCGGTAGTTGGATTATGTGCTCGGGAATTTTTTGAATGCACTGTGCTTCAAAGAATACCGCCACAGTCCACTATAGGTGCAGTCATTTCTTCATATACAGGGTGTTCGAAGAATTCAAGTGTTACTGGATACATGCTGGCTATTATTTTAGTTTGAGATACAGATGTTACGAATCCCGCACTTTCCCAGAAAACTGGAAATTTGCTCATGTCTAGCCCATCGCATAAAAAATGATCCAAGACCGACCCTTACAGCTACAGGGTTGATTTCTGTTGTATGGAGTGGTGCATAAATCGGAAGCTTCTAGAGTACCTCGAACGTCATTAGCGAAAGGCATTATGGTTTCCAGCACCACGGGAAATAGCTTACGACATACAACTGTGGTGTAAACTCATCCAGTCTAAGTGTAGCACAATTCGTTACTCTTCATATTACGAAAGCATTCGATCAGCTGTGCTATGCTGCCCTCTTATGCAAACTACCATCCTAGGGACTCCCAGCGAATCTATGAAGATGGATGGTTGGCTTCCCCCCTGGCCGCACGATATTCGTCGTAATTGACGGGTTCCCTTCTTCATCCTACATCATCAACGCGGGTGTTCCCTAGGGATAGCTCTTTGCTCCGACATTGTTCTTCTTACATATCAACGATCTCCCTCCTAGTACGATCAATCAGATCCAAAGCTTTGCTGATCGCAGCACTCTACATGCAGGAATTCAGAGAGACAAGCCGATCTCTGCCGGTGAGCTGGAAAAAAAGACTAGCAGCGACTTCCTCTCTGTCAAGAGATCTGGAGGTTATCACTGCTTGTACAGTTTAATGCTTCCAAAACACCTTGACTAGCAAGAAGCGTCCTAGCGCTCATCCGTTGTCGATGGATGGCCGAGTTCTACCAGAGCCATTCATTTCGTCTGGCCATAGCCCAGATTACCGAGAACTTTATCTGGCACGAGCACATCTCGTCAGTAGCGGTAGCTGGTGGAAAAAAGTTACGCTATTTGTTTTGGTCTATGTGTGCTATGTACAAACTTTTAATATTTTTCGCGCTTCGTAGGTTTTTTTGCCAAAAATATGTCACACTTTAATCCAAGGAACTGTGCTTTTTTTCAAGACGTAAGCAAAAAAGACCTCACAAAAATCTTAGGTAATAGAAGAAAAATATTTAGTATTATAAAAAATTTATTGGAAAACACAGATATTACATTACAAATAATAGATATATATATATATATATATAGAAATCATTGCACTAATTACGAAAATAAATTGAAAAATAGCCTTAAATGATACAATTTACATCTGATTTTATCAATTATATAGAGATTCAGTTCAATATACGTACATACATGGTACGTAACATCACGCTAACACCAGTCACGTTCATCAGAACAAAGCGCTTTGTGGCGCTTATCTCACTATAACATAAACATAACTAGACATACCTATCGAAAATAAAGCCACGTTAATCTATACTATTTACATCTTATGATTTTATCGGCTAATTTGCGATATACAAATCGGTAACAGCACCATGATAGCGATTTAGTTCAATATTTACAGACACATACAGACAAAAATGTCAGATGACAAAGACTATAACGTAACATCACGCTAAAATCAGTCACGTTCTACAGAACAAAGCGCTAATCGCACTATAACATAAACATAACTAGATATACCTAATTAAAATAAATTGAATGGTCACCTTAACTTATACTATCTACATTTTATCAAATAGGTACAGCCAATTTTCGCTATACGAATCGATAAGAGCACCATAGACTACGATTCATGTCAATATTTACAGATATAGACAGACAAAAAAGTCAAATAACATAAACAAAACTTGATATATCTAATTAAAATATATTGAAGGATCACCTTAAGTTATACTATTTATATCTTTTGATTTTATCAAATAGGTAGAGCTAATTTTCGCTATACGATTCGACAAGTGCACCATAGTGATTCAGTTCAATATTTACAGATATATACATTGATGACTTACAGACACAGAACGTAACAACACGCTTACATTCGTTCGCGTTCATCAGAACAAAGCGCTTTGTATCGCTACTCTTACTGCAAGGTGTCCTGAAAGTTGGAACTTTCCTTCTCAGAAACAACTATGATTGAAATAACAAAGCTAATGTGTGGTGAAACAGCAGCGAAAAAGTAAAAAAAACATATGATAAAGTACTCAACGTTCAGTTGCAGAGAAATTTCAAGTACGGCTCTGTCACTTATAACATTTCGAAGTTGTCGCTCTTGGTAAAATGTTTCGTAGCAAGTTTAGGTATTGTAAACCATGCAGAATAAAAGGTCCAGTGAGCATGCGCGTTTTCACGCAGCCTTGGGTGATAACGCCTGGGAAAACGATCTGCATATACTCGCGAAGCCTCGGTAGCGTTTAAAAGTCACTCACCAGAAATTAAAGTAATTTCAGCAAGTACGATATTGCTGTACGAGTGTGCCATTTTGTTTTTTGTACCGATTGGTAAATGAATCTTTTGTTTACCTACACTGCCCCCGTCTGGGTTGAGGACTGACCCATGTCGTGGCTTCTCACTGTTAATCTGATCGAAATACAGGAGCGGATTAAGTTTGACTTTGGTTTGATTTTGCGGAACTCAATATCTCGGTTATCTCAAGACTTTGGAATATATGCTACTAAAATACCGCTTGTTTTTTCAAGATCTATATGCCGCGTAAAGAGAAGAGAAGTCACAAATTTGCGGACACTCTGTATAACATAAACATAACTAGATCTACATCGTTGAACGCGAAAATCTAATGATATTACTATTACTTTGTATAATAATCGTCTATAAAGACTAGTTGCTTCCAATCCCTCATAGTATCTAAAGATGATTCCAAAGTTTCGGTCCATTTCTTATAATCTACATTATTATCCGCTGAAATATAGAACTTCTCCAACACAAAGTTATATCGTTTTTTCAAAGCAACTTCTTCTTCATTCTCCACAAAGGTGCTCGGTCTGCCTGTTTTGATTACAAATGTCCTCTTTCTTGGGCAGTTCTCAACTTCCTTAACTAACGGTAGGAGGCAGTACTGCAAATTGATGCTCTGGCAAGGGTCTCTTTCATACTCCTCGTCCTGTGGATAATTGTAGACTGAAAATTGGGTACCTTTAAGCGAGACCCATTTTCTTTCCCAAGTGATGATGGACTCTCTCTTGGTGCCCCAAGTCAGGAACCCTGACAGATCGGTATCAAGGTCCAATTTGTTGACAGCGACGTTGACGTTGACGTAATTCCTGAACTTCGATTCGGGCGGCGGTGAGATGAAAAGTGCGCCGTTGTCAATTTGATTTTTTGTCAGCATAAACTGAAGGCAGTGTGTGAATGACGGTGTCAGGATGTCCGACTGGAGCAGTTCGTTCAGGTTCAGATCTTCGTAGTAAATTTTATTCGTGCAGCAGTTGTGTGTCGTCTGAAAGTGAAATAATGGGCTAGAATCGTCTAACAGATATAAAGACAAAATATCCTTTTTCACCATTGATAGACGAAAAATGTAATGTGATGGCAGGCATACAGATATTAGTTCACTCTGATGCTTTGATAGTCCATTTGTGAGCGTAATTTTTCCAAACATAACTTTGAATGATGTAGAGGGGGCTAATAAGAATATTGACTGCGCCCAATGGTTATCATAAATCTGTAAACATGCAAAAACGAAGTTTAGACAGATTTGAAATTCCGCCAGTACTACATCGATTTCCGAAAATACGCAGCATTATTCACTATGACCTGTAGCATCACGTTGCTCAAATTTCATCAAAATCAATGTAACCTTTCTTGTCATCGTTTATTTTGTTAATGGTACTGGTCGATGACCAACTGGCCAGATAATTATTTCAATAGTACTAAAATAGAACAACCGTTACCTTATAACCCATTAAGACGGTTCTACGTTACATTAACTAGTACAAATACATTGTTTTTTAATTGTTATTTTTTCGATACTATTTTTAAACCAGAGTTTTTTCTCTTATTTTTATTTTTCTTCCCATTCCCACTGACGAGGAAATATTGTGATCGCGAAAAATTTTAAAAACGTTTTTTGGGTGTTATATGACGTACAATACTTAAAACTATGTCACTCATTTCCGTGGGTCTTCCTGTCTGTCCTTTTCCCGTCGTAACTTACCTCCACGTACGACAGACAAAGACCGGCTGCCACCTACAAAAGGTGGATCATATTTTTTGAAATTAATATATTAATACCAACCCCGTTAGACAAATTTCGCACATCGTATTTTCTAGTACATTTTCCCTCAAATCTTATTTTACTTATTACTAATATTTCCAGAGACCGGGTCGCGTACGTATCGGTCGCACTTGCCGTGCAGCCACGGAGTTTTAAGTACTGCATCTTTGTTGGTCGATCCGAGGGTCGCGATACCTATTTATACAAGCATAATGCATGGAGTGTAATTTAATGACAGTACTTGGTCTCGTAAGGTAGTATTATATAGCATATAAGTGGGTATCAGGAGCTATTATAATCAGTTATCAAACATTGCTAACAAACAGTCTTACACAAGAGGCTACCATTGCTGCAATTCAACAAATTTTTTTCATGAAAATCCCAACTGGTGAACTAATGGTTCTGACAAAACCTACGTCTCTTTGACGCCATTGTCAAAAAAAATTGTAAAGTCGCTTCGAAGACGTGGGAAGTAGAAAGTCAATCTAATTGACGCCATTTTTTTCATACTTTCCTTTGCATAAGATTTGCGAAATTGCAATTTATAACTAATCTATTTTTCCTTTTATTCATTTGCATTCCTGCATTTTAAAAAGAATCCTAATTGTGATTTACATCATCTCATAAAGCTGAACCTAATTTGCGACATTTCCGAGATTACTATAGTAGAAAATCGCCATCACATGGAAAATAATAAATTTTACTAAACACTGAAATATTAAAGCGTCTCCAAAAATGTATTTAGGTAACTTGTTAAACATACATGAAAGCAGTTTGATAATGTTTTGCACAAATGCACAGATTTTCAAAAGGTAGCCGTATTGTCTATACTTGAGTATACACCTTAACCTCCTCATAGGATAAAGCTATCACTTTACTGAAATTAATTCAGCTGCTACAGTTCAGATTTTTGCGACGTATCATTTAACAATAATGAATTCATCTTGCTTGAAAGAAAAGCACATACCTTCTTAAACATATTCCTGCAGATTTTTCGAATGCTGTCCTTTTTTGTTTTCAGCCTCAAAGTGAAAAGCTCAGCCTTGATTCCGAAGTTATCCTCAAGATCCTTCAAAATAAAGGTGTCTTTGAATACAAGTTTGTTCTCGTTAACCTTCGCTATGTTGGACATGTGCAGTGTGGTACCATATGAAAGCGCCAAAACATAGAAGTCTGTATATGTATTCTTCTTGGGTTTGTCCTGGGACATCTTGATGTCGAACTCGAAGTTGGAGACAGTGATGCTTCCCTTGTGAGGCACCCTCTTCTTGTAGACCTGGGAATAATCATCTGGGCACTTCAGTTCGCGGATTTTCTGTACGATCAGCTTATTACGTATATCTGTAAAAAGTTCAAAAGGTATGAGTTTATAAAATAAAATTAACAAATTCAAGAATATTGACGTCACGGAAAAGATTTATTTTACTACATTCACTAAATCATTGGAAAAAGTTCCTGATACGGTTTTTTGCATAATTATATTCAAAAAGGACTATTTCTAGTTTTTCAGTATTTTATTGTTATTATTGTTCTGAACAAAAGCATCTTATTATGAACCATTCCCAAAAGTTAATAGTGATTTAACAACATCTGAAAAGGTACAAAATATGACATTTTTGAGTCCGAAAACATTATGAAAGGACGAAGCTTTTAATGTTACCAAATCAACTAGACATTCTTTATTAACAAAACCTTAAAGCATTCTAGGGGGTATTGTAAAAGCGAAATATTTCGAAAATGAGATATACTTTTGGGATGTTATGTGACACGAGAAACCATACCACTCATTTCCTTCGTTAGGTCTGTATGACCGCTTATCTTCCGCCTGTCTATAACTTGGAGAGCACCGCTCGAGTTTTTAAAAATTGGTCTTAAAAAGACGGAAACAAAAATCACTGAAAAACAGTTTTTTTTTTTGAGGTTTCAAAGGTTTCTGATCATTTTTGGGGAATACATTTCAGTGTTTGGGGTTTTGTGATGTAGAGGAATGTGAATGTTAATCTTTTGACGATAGTATATTACACGCTTCAAACCCCGGCAATTCTACGCACTTATGAGTACATATTTCGCATATCGTACATTTGCCAATTAAAACAAATATTTCAAGCATCAAGCCCTGTCTGCATCTGACTGCATCGTTGGCGCTCACGATCTAGAGTACCATATCTGTTTGTGGTTCAGCATCGTTGCCAGAATGTCGTTACTTTCGGTAGGGCAGGGAATAAATTTCTAGAGTTATAAAATGGGTGGGGACTATGGACTAATTGTATAGGCCATTTTGGCCATTGATTATTTTTTTTGCATGCCCGTAGCTCACTTTTTCCTCAGAGTATGCCAAGTTTTGTAAGGAAAATGTGACGAAAACAATATGCTTACAAGTTAAATATGAGCATCACCAAGATACGTATATTCTGCGTGTGCTCAGAATCATTGAGCGTGCACGTCATCAACAATTAAAAAACAAAGGTCTGCAATAAGGAAACCGCTAGGATGCTTTGGGCTATTGTGAATAGATGTTTGAAGAATATTAAATAACTTCGGTGACAATAATACTTTCGTTTTTCCGGGTCGAAAATGATATGAGGCATTTATTAAATATGAATTTGCCTATATCTTGAAAGCTATCAACATTAGGGAAGAGTTCAGAGAACACTTCTTGTGCCTGACGGCCCAAGAAAATTTAATTATTTTTTTTTGCGGAGCCAAGTAAGTATTTTTTGTAACATATATAAAAATTGCTTCTTTCATCTTTTGGTTTAACAAGACGCAGACTCAAATAAGGCTATGCAGAAAAATGTAATCAAAATATTTCTCCAAGCTGATGCGAAGATACTTTCTGGATTATCTAGATGCCGAATCCAGAATTATGAGGTCTAAGCCCCTTTGCGTTCTTTTCCCGTCTTAATCATTATAGCTACGCTAAGGGTTCGCCCAAAAGGCTTTAAAAACTATACTCCCATGTGTGCGTGTAAGCAAGGAAATAAGGCAATAAAGCAATTGTTTTGATACTTCCCAACTGCCATATCAGTACAAAACTCTATTTTACTCTGAATTACCTCTGCGAGGACGCATAATGAGACCAATAGAGCCTAAGTACTGTAATCTTGTATAATATTCACACAAATATAGACATTACTAGACAATATTAAAGTTTTTGAGCTGAAGACACTTTGATCCCTTTGTAAAAGTAACTACAAAATCAATTGCTAAAACAAGTGATTATTAATCATTTCTTCCGAATTAAATGTCTGTTCAAAAGAGCGTATACTCGTTTCCTAGAACATAAAGAATCTAAGACAAAAGACATTTTTTTATTTTTCCTACGGCAAGATTGAAAAATTATAAAAAATCCATAAAAATTCTCATGAAATTCAACTCACCACATTCAAGAAGAATCTTCTCAGCAACAAGCTCCTTATTCCACTCACGATCTTTTTGAGTCTTGATAGTCATCAGAGCATTCGAGGCCTGGTTCATTTTTACACATTCTGCATCCCTGATCTTTTTCAGCTGCAGGTACATTTCGTCCGACTTCGAGAGCTGAGAGTATGCACTCTAGAATAACCAACACCAAAGTTATGACTTATACACGTAACTTCTACACAACAAAAAATAAATGCACTACGTCTTTCGAACAAAACTATGTGGTACTCGAGACTTTTGCGAACTGCTTCAAAACGATATAATTTTACAGGGAAGTCTCAGTTCTCTCTTCCAGCAGCAAACACTACAACATTGCTATTTTCGAACAAGACTTCAATTTGACACTGCAGATCAGTAGGCCTGGGAAGTGACTGACACATGACTAACGGAACAGTTGCCGGGTAAACACAAGTCGCGACATAGCACCGTGGGTATATTGGCATAAAACAAAAGAATGCCAATACTCCGCACTGATGATTCATAGTTCGTGATGCCCAAAACATCAAGCTTTGAATATCAAATATATAGAGTAATGTACGGAATAGGTGGAAATGCACTCGTAAATTTTAATAAAACCTGACAGAATGTTGAGTCCAGAAATTTATAATGTATTTTGAAGTCTGAGAATGTTGCTCAATTCATCGAAATGCTTCCAAACGTAGTTCTTTTGTTTTCGAATTAAAATGACATAAGATTATAGAAGTTGTATGATAAGTACAAAAAGTTTATGATAACATAGGTGAACATTTGATCTAAGATTTATCACTGGGCCCAATATTGGGGTTGACCTAATTATTTTAGATTTAACATTATTTAATCGTCAAATTCAGAATATAAATTAAAAAATAAAATTGTAGTTTTCTTAATCAAAATTTTGCGACGTTTGTTTTGCCTAGCGAGATGATTTTGAGGTCAAGTTGAGATTGAGGTTTGAAGTTTGCAAGAGTAATTGAATCCATGTGGGAGGAAGAGCTGTTTTTTGACCGATAGAATGTTCAAATGTAAATGTCTCTAATCTGACCAAATGTAGAATACCCTCTTTATTTGAAAATACAGGGTGGCGCATCGAAAACGAAACAGACGCATTTACTGGCAGCTCAGTTTTTTTTTGGCAAAACGCTCAGACCCGTCGATTTTGTTTTCGAGGGGGACACAAGTTTGGCAAAAAATCACGTTAACACGTGCAGCCCCCTGGGCGGGGGTGACACCAACCCTAAAATCTTAAATGAAAAGGGGGGTCGACTGATATCTTATTTTAAAAGTATTTCAATTTCCTTTATAATGATGTAAAATACATGAGCTTCAGTTCAGTAGTTTTGAAGATTTATTGATTTAAAGCTTGAAGTAGACTTTAGTAGGTACATCAGATTAGTTTGTAATACTTTCAGAAGAAATTTGACTAAAAGAATTTACTTAATAAGTAAATGCTTTTCTTCACTACGCCCATGGTTTGTTTAACATTTTGTTGTTGAAAATAACTATTGGAGCGTTTTTTTGTGGCAAAAAAGTTATTTCTTGAAGAAAGATAAGGAAGCAAAATCTTTATTATTGCATGGAGAGTCATGGTGGCCATTTTCAACATTTACTTGCCTAACGGGTCAGTTCATTCTTCATTTTTAAATTACTTTGCTGCCAAATGTATTGATCTCCACTAATGATGATGTATTAGTTTTATTTAAGCTTCAAATCAATAAATCTTCAAAACTACTGAACTGAAGTACATTAATTTTATATCATTACAAACGGAATTGAAAGACCTTTAAAATAAGGTATCACTCGACCCCCCTTTCCATTTAAGATTTTGGGGGTGGTGTCACCCCCGCTTAGGGGGCTGCACGTGCTAACGTGATTTTTTGCCAAACTTATGTCCCCCTGGAAAACAAAATCGACGGGTCTGAGCGTTTTTCAAAGAAAAACTGAGCTGCCAGTAAATGCGTCTGTTTCGTTTTCGATGCGCCACCCTGTATATAGATAATGAAACGATGCTAGCAAGAAAACTATGACATTATAAGGCAGTATGTAGCGTTCTCTAAATATTTTATGTGTGTTGAAAAAAAGGACATCATTATATTTAGCATCTCCAGAAACTACTCGATTCATAATTTTTATATAATTGTTAAGAACCCGAACTATAGAGAAATAACGATTTTGAGTAGGTATTAAGGCTTCGGGAACCAAAATCTAAGTCGTTTTTGGCTCAAGATTCTTTTCACGAGCTTAGTCTATGGCTGGTTAAAATTTATTTCAATATTTATTATTTTTTTACTTGATTTTCAGCGACCTTGGTTTTGTTGGATATTAAAAATAAGCAAAAAGTATTGTTTATAAAGAATATATTTGTAAAATCAGCAAAAAGTAATTGAAAAGTGTAAAATAATATCCGATCTAATAAAAGCTATACAAAAAATGTAGATATCTGATCTCTGAATACATTCGTAAGGTGGATTATGTTTTTGATTATCTGCTTTACCTGTAAATAATTTGCGTAGCACATTCCGCGATATTTATGAACGATTGTTGTTGTACGCAATACGTGCCTCGCGTATAAACTGTTCACTATCAATGAATACTATTTAGAATTGCATAAGGACTCATCAAGATAAAGATTCCTTTTCTTCTGTATACTAATCAGCATGCAATTACATCTTATCAACAACATTATCAACAGCACTTGATGTGATACTAAAGGCGTACGTTATCTTATCTTGGACCAGGAAAGTGTGCGATTGGTACCAGTCAACAAATTGATGATGATAATATATTATATATTATTAGCGCACGAATTTTCTTCTTAGGAATTCCTTTTAAAAGCAAGAGGAAGGTCGCTCATCATGTTTTTGTTTTCATTTTCCTGTTATTTTGGGTCAGTTTTTTGTAAAGTTGGACTAGTTCCGCTTCCATTTTCTACGTACTTAGGTCTCGAATAGTACCGATGTAACGGGTTCCAAATTTTATATCCACATTAATTTGAAGTATGTCTATCAAATTTACCGCTTACTTTTTCAAATTTTGCATCCAAACCATTAGGTATAACAGTTATCAAAATCAATTAGATGCGGAGTTTGAAACTCGCTGTATCGATACTTTTCGAGTACGTATCGAAAAAATATAAGTAATAGCAACAAAAAATTGAAAATGTTGAAAAACGATATAAAATACTTGATAATTCTAGCTCATAGGAACCTCCCCAGTACATTAAAAACAGCTACGCAACAACAAATCATGAGATTTCACGACTGTATAAGATGTGAATTCAGTGGTTCCAAGACTATTCTAATTTACTTTTACAATTCCTAGAAAACCATGCCGTATCACATCTTTCTAACTTACAAAAACTGTGGCAGGTAGTATGTAAGATTCTTATCTCCTCTTCATAGATCACGAATTACATTGATTAATTTTTAAATAATAAATACCTTCAAAAGAAATTTCTACTGACAAAATCTGTTACTTCTCGGAAATAAGATATACATAAATATATACATTGGTAACAAACGCCGATTCAAAAATCGTCAAACGACAAGCTAGTTTTACATATTGTACAATCAATTGTTACCCCACATTTTGGAAACACTCTTTACTATTACGGTTTGTTTTTTTTTAGGTCCAGTAGTATGTCGAAAAGAAACATTTTCATATAAATAAGCAGAATTCTACTCACAGTGCGATTGTTCTGCTGATCTTTTCTGCTAGTGTGTCGCTTAGCATGCCCCCTATCAAAGTCGTCTTTCTCGAACAGCTTGGGAGAAAGCAATCTCCTCTGCCATCTCTTCGAGGGCCTGCTTTCGAAAAGGTTAACGATGAACTTCTCTTCAGTCTCATTCTTCGTCTTAGGGCCATCGAAGTTTTCATATACTACTGCCTCATACTGATCGGTCGGAGTTTCGACGGTCAAAATGGCGTTCACGTTTTGTATGGCCCTTTCCAAAGTAGCAGGGTTCGCCTTTGTGTATGTGCTGTAATTCACCTGAAAATAAGAATGTCGTGAGTAATATGAACCGGAAGCTTCAATAAAATGGGAAGAACAGAGTTATTCTACTTGACGTTTTTACGCGCCGGCCAAGACCGAGTCGAGCCAGGCGCAACCTGTTTTTTCCCAACTTCTGAAACATTGAAACCAATTTGCCTCCTAAACGGTAAATATGTTATAGGATTTTTTTCCACCTCTAGATGAGTTGAACTTAGAGGACATTTGGTTTCCAAGAACACGGTGCAATAACACACAGTTCAAGAGAATCGGTGGCTGTTTTGAGGGAACGCTTCCCAGAGCGCCATATCTCCATTAGAGATGATTTGGAGTGGCCGGCCTGCTCTCCAGATGTGCCCCGTATTGATTTTTATGAACGAAACAAGGACCCTACAGGATTTGAAGTGCAACACCCAGGAAGAAATTGCCAAGATAATGCCTGCTAAGCTGGCAAGAGTAAAGACAAACGCCAGAAATCGGTTTATGCAGTGAATGGAGAATGAGGGACAACTACTATGTGATTTGACATTCAAAACTTTAAACATGCGCCTACATTATGGATGACAAATAAAAATGGTTCATACAATGAGTTTCAAGTTTTGAAAAAAGAACGTTATGTTGACGCACGCTGTACGACATACACAAAACTTCAATACTTGAACTTCGAAGTTCGAGATATACCTAGTCTTTTTTATGTTATTTTATTATATATGAAACTAACCTCTTTATAACTCTTATCTCCCTTATCCGACCCAGTATTGGACTCGCTGTTGAGCGAGTTGGGTGTACTGTAGCAATGCGGCAAAAACGGTTTAGCCTCAATCACTGCTTCCACAGTCACTGTGTACGGCCTGGTCTGTTCTTTATGTTCGTTGGAGATATTGACACCACTGTCTATTGTCGAAATCGTTCGTGCAATGCTTTCCCTGGAGTCGGTTACCATGATTTCCTCGTAACTGGGATATGTAGGGTAAGAGTAGTGAGCTTGATCTTGGCAACTGAGGTAAGAATTTGGGCCTTGGTCTTGGTAGCTGAGACAAAAGGTTGTGCCTTGATTTATGTAGCTGGGAGAGGATGGACCTTCGCTCCATAACTTCTGCTCGTCGGTGGCGTTGGTTGAAGCATCCGTTTTTTCTGGAAAAAATCAAATAATTATTAAACAGGATGTAAAAAAGCAACACAGGGTGTCCCCATTTTTTGGACTCAAAATAAGTCGATTGGACATGATTTGCTGTTATGCAAAGGAGCGTCAGGTTTGTTTATAAAACACTTTTTTCAGCTGTTTTCTCCTAATATTTGATTTTTTTACAAAAAAAAAAACAAAAGGGTTCGAGAAGGCTGTAAACTACCCACCTCTAAATAAATTATAGCAGAATTTTTTCGTAACTCTCTCAACGACTCTGATTTTTGTTATGTAAAGGATCCTTTTATTTACTTCATTTTTTTTCTCTTATAAAAACAGGCCACCTTACATAGTGAGAGAAAAAAGTTTATCGGAGCTAGTTTCTAAAAAAAATTCTTAGTACATGAAGTGTTAAAATTCTTTGCGTTGTCAGTGAACACCCTTTATGAACAATTCGCACTATTGCCTTATTAAATAAAATTGTAATAAGCTATATCATACTTGTTGATTTTCGCTAACTACACGGAATATTGGGACACCCTGTACAGTAAAAAAGCAGGTGCTTTAATTTTCAAACTAACACAAGTTGATGTCATGCATACCACCAAAGGCATTTTGTTACAAAAAATCTCGTATCACAATGTTGTTGTTGTAACGCCAAAATGACTGGCGGGCTTGGAAAATAAAACCATGATGCCGAGAAAACTATTAAATACAAAATTGATTTGTCGATATCCGCAAGTTGAGGTTGCTAGTAGGGGCTATAAGTTGACCTCACTTAAACTTTTGTATTTGACCTTCCAGAAAAAAGTTTTATTTAAAAGTTATATACTCGTATATAGTTTTTCATGTAATATTTTTTTTGTGTTCAGCGTGTCTCAGAAAAAGGCTATCGGATAATGTTGTATTTTTAAAATTAAAGCATCTTATATATTTTCAGGGAATAACTAGTTCATTTTTTCTGATTCAAAATATAATTTTGTTAGGGCTATAAAATTCGGTAAGTCTTTATTCTGATTCTGATATCAGGATCAAGTTTTCCCATTTTTTTTTTTTTTGATATCTGAGATTTATTAAAGCACTGTTATAATATTCATCATTCAGTAAAATCCAATTTGTTCTTTCAATCCATTATATATTTGGATAATATTTTTTACAATATAATTAAATAAAACTAGGCAAATACTTTGACCTAAACTAGTAAAACAAATTTAATGGGCTTAATTTATTTTTTCTACTTGGAGCAGGCAAACTCGTTCTGATACTTTATTAACTTTAAGTAAATTGGTGTACTCAATCTAAATAAAAAGTTTAATAAATTTAATTAATCCAATTTCATAGATTCAAGTAAACTATTTTTGGAGTTTGATCAAGCTAATTAAACTTGTTAACTGTCACATAGTTGATAAAATTTTTAATAAAAAGGAATGCCCAATAGAATGCATCAAAAATGCATTTTTTACAAAAAATTTATAACATACAATTTAAATATTGAAACCACTTGGGGCCTTGCGATATGAAACGGACTGTATCATAATACTAATTAACTGAACAACTTGTCTCAGTAATGAATAATGACAAAATGATTATTAATGCTTAAATTGTTAAGGTCATAATAACCAATAACCACGGTTATACTCATATGGTCGATGAACTGGCTACACCAGCTGGATCATGCTTGTATGCGGTGTGAATATCAAATTGAACAGAACAGAGTTAACGAAGTGAAATAAAATTATAATGACTTTTTACAGATTAGGTAAATATTATATGCAAGTCATAGTCACAAAAAATAGTTTTTTAAAGAAAAATGTTGTTTTGACGCATCCCAAAAATATTAATCTGTTGTTGCAATAATTAAAACTCCGACTGATATTTAACGAAATATGATTTAGTAACTGATATTTCTAAATCACGAATGTTACCAAATATCGCGAAAAAGCGTGACGTGGCCGGTAAGGTCGAAAATCGTACACCATCGTAAGACTACTATAGCTTGCAAGCAATAATGTGCTTTATAAGTTTTGGTAGTTGGCTTCATCCGATTTCAACGCGGTATTTTTGCTTATGATATATGTAGCTATACCCAAAATATCATCGTTATTCGAAAGTTGATGGTATCACGTTACGGGTTTAAATCACTGATATAAAAAGGTAACAGATATTTAAAATAACAGTATCCGCCGTCTCTAAAACGATGTTTAGCGAGTAGAATTTTTTAGTTAAGCGCAAAAAGTGTGTTGAATAATTATAGTTAAATACTGTCAATCATTTGATCGATGGGGTAATATTTGTATAATATCTCAGATTAGAAATGAAGAGGTAAAGTAAGAAGGGTCCCGCTGTTCTTCAAAGCATCTTTATATTTACATCGACACTGAGTACCTAACATACTTGAAGTTTCACCGATTGAAATGGCTTTAGGGGTTTTCTTCGCCACAATTCGGCGAACAAAAACATAGTTTTGTAACAGTGAAGAG